TCATATAATGGCAAGTTGGGGATCGTTTTCGAGGTATTTGGGGGTGCTCATTAGGAATATAGCACTTATTTCTAAATCCAAGATGGCGGACATGACTTTTCGAATAATGGCGAGTTGGGTGTCGTTTTCAAGGTATTAGGGGCTGCTCATTCCGAATATAGCACATATTTCTAAATCCAAGATGGCAAAGAATTAGAAGAAAAAGTATTAGAAATCTTGTCCCCCATCTTGTATTCAGATATACATGCCATTTCCTTATGGTTTACCAAAAATACATTTTTGAAAATTGTTGTGAACCATCTTGGATTTAGAAATTAATGCTTCGTAATAAGCACTCTAAAACTCTTCGAAAACGTCTATAATTCTCAATCGTTACTGTCGATCGATAATGTCGAGCAAATCTGTAGGCACCTTATTAAATACTACCCAATTCTTATTTAACTCATATATGAACAAAAACCTACAAGCGAGTTTAAGTGCGACTATCGAATTTGAATATATAAATAGCCTAATATTATCTGTGGGTATGTTCACATGAAAAGTACACGACAACAATTAAGAACCTGAACCTGAAAGTTATTTATACACGATTTTGGAGAACTGACGATGACTTTTTAGTCAGTGTTAGTTTCCTGAAATAATTTTAGTTAAGAACTTTTGAGTCTGGGCAAGACAATTTTTTTAAATGAGTGTATGATGAACAAGAATAATGATTTTTCACATGAAAGTAATGAAGGCAAATACTAAATATATTTCGTAAAAATAGCTAACGTAAATTCCCTACAATGTTGTTGCGGCGGTGTACATTTGTAGAAATTTTGCAACTGTCGCGATATTGCCTATTCTCAAAAAATTACGTAATATAATTATTTTGAAACAGAATAGCAAAATGGGGAGAAAAAACCCGTTACTTTGCAACATTTTCGTATCTTGTTGCAACGAAATTAATTATCTGTTTTAGTGAATATTTACATAAAAATACAACTTGAAACGCGTTACTTCCTTGTGGAATGTGATGTTAGTGTCTATTTTATATTTGTCTGATCTATTTTTAAACCCAATTACCGCACATTTCGTCAATTTTAGCAAAAATTTTTGAGCTGCTCGCGGTGCAACTTGACCTTGAGTACTGACAGCCCGCTCGCTCGTGTAAGCCCATAGGGCGTCCTACAATTTGCCTCACTTAGCGTGTGCGGGCTAGGTTTCTATGCGTTATTATTCTAAGTAATTAATACAAAACTAAAAAATTGTATAACTAAACACAAAACCTTGTCGAAACATGACGACGTTAAATACTCGTAGAAATAAATTTACAATTTCTTCGAAACAAATTTCTCTACAGTGTAAAGTTTATTTTGTAATGATAGAAGTTTCAGGTGGGTGTAAAACATTCCGTCGTTTGTAACACTTTTTAGATATATATTTTTTAGAATATTTTATTACTAGTAGCGAGTTCATTACGGTGAGTAACGGATTTTAGTTTTCTCACGTTGATCAATCGTGATTACGTCGCCATTCATAGGAGTTGTTAAAAAGGCTTCTGCAGGACTGACCTTTTTTATGGTTCCTAATACATGTTTTTGAAGAATACATGATTTACATTGATTGTATTATGATGAAACTTGAAAAAAAAATAGACAATTTGATTTAGTAGTATCCGCTATTGCGGTCAAGCAGCGAATGACCATCTAAAGAAACCAAATCAGAATGCGAAGGAAAATGGAACAATTCAAAATGTTAAATTTAAATATGAATAGAAGAAGAAAAACGATACGATACGAATGGACAGAGACGATACAAAAAGGTGGGATGACGATGTAAGGAGGTCACACCGTCACAAGTTGAGTTACCCCACAGTGCAATACCGTATGACATTAAGAGACGAATGTTCACAAATTACGTCTGTCTCAATACATTGGAAATAAAAAACGCAGTTGCCTTAGTGCTTAGCACCTCCAAGTTTACCGCACAGAGACCACGTGTGTTCCAGTTTAAATTTTAAATAGTTTTACGTAAAATCTAACGGTTTGCATGTTGTAGAATTTCTTCCTGAGAACAACGTACAGTTCGACTTCGATATGTTAAGGATAAGTCTAATAATAGCAAAAAAATACTCATATTGGTTTTCTTTGTAGAATAGTAAAGTACTTTTAACGTGTATATGACATGAATGAAATTCATTTCCTGAATAAAGGAGAAATATGTATCAAATATGTATTGAGCTTCAATACAAAATAAAATTGTTTAATAACCAAACAATTGAAAACGCTTTCATGTTCACATATACACCCTCGCATTTTCCATCATTGTCTCACACACAATGCGGTCTCATTGCGTCACACAATGACACGAGTTACGTCGGGAATACGTCACAACACAATGCATGCTTCAATTTGCTGAAAGCAATTATCTACTCTATTAATATAATAGATTGTTGTATGCAATTCTTTCTTTTCTTATCCTGGCTCCCATCTGTTAAATGATACAAATTGGTAGCGCGTGAGGTTCACTATGGCTTTGATGTCTTTTTTCTTGAATATGTATTTTTTTGCACTGTTCTGTGCGATCACCCACAGATCGCTTGTCTTACACGACTTGTCTGTTCGGTTGCTTGATTAAAAAGGTATATTATGAGCAATGGTCGGAAAAATATGTTCCACATACATGTACAGACATAGCTACAAGGAGCGACATAGAGTTGATAAAACCACCACATATTAATTAACTACTTTTTCGAATTCCGGATTTCCGAAAATGGTTTTACTGCATCGTAGGTCAAACTTCTGACCTGGGAAGTCGAAGTTGAATTTTAAAGTAATTTTAATGATGCCATGTAAAATAATGCAGTATCAGCGTATGCAGCACCATTAGCATTATATTATAAGCATCATCAGCTGCATCAGCATTACTAGCATCTTCGCCATTATTATCATTTTAGTAGCAGTAGAGCTTCTTATGAGAGTTCGTCCAGGGAAACCGCCATACTTATTTCTTCCGCCAAGCAAGTTTATTGTAATGAAAAGTCAGTAGCATAAGTAATGCAGTAGACAGTATTTTTTGCCATGTTAATTACTTTAAAATCTAACTTTGACTTACAACATCGTAGGACAATACTACTAGGTGAGTAGCTTTATCCTACGATGCAGTAAAACCATTACCGGAAATCCGGAATTCGAAAAAAGTAATGAATTAAAATTTGTTGTTTTAACAACTTTGTCACTCCTTGTAGCTATATCTATACACGTACCTATAGATTTGGAACACCTTTTTCCGACCTATGATTATGAGAAAAATCCCCAATACCATTATAGGGTTTTAGCTACTACTTAGATACCGGTTATTTAACTCCAGTTTCATGTCATTTTGACTGTGGAATCTGAACAGGAAAAACGTGTATTTATGATCTAATAGTTTACTATTATTTCGTGTTTACCAGTGTTAGTATGGTGTAACTTATTTTGCATGTTTACGAACAGTACCCTTCATCATCAATAGCTTACACGCATCTCCTGAAGACATAAGCCTCCCAACGAGCACGCCTACTCTCCCGGTCCAGTACCGTTCGCATCCTGTCGCTGCCGACCATCTTTCTCAGGCCGTCTCTCCATCTTGCCACAGCGCGTCCTATACGTTTGCCGTAAAGTTGACACATCAGAACAAGTGTGCTTCATCGGCCTTCAGACCTTCTGCAGACCATGTCCGGCCCACTGTCACTAAAGCTTACCGATTTATCGAGCTATATCGGTCACTTCAGTTTTTTGATATATGACTGCAATGGGGTTTCGGTCCATCAAAGAAACCGTAAGTATACCGTATACATCACCAGGGTGAAAGGCGAGTCTTAACGGAATCCACGACGCGGCACAGGTGGGTGAGGGTGCATATACAAGTTTTTAGTGGGTAGGCCTCCGAGAACCTATCGCCTGGTGGATCAACGGAGAGAGTTCCACATAACCCCACCATGTCATCGCCCGCGGCGGGGTATTAAATCATTTTCCTGTCTATAAAAAAAGGATACCATGTACATAATAGTACTGTTACATTTCGTTTATTACGTAAGAGTAATGACATTGCTATACATAAACGTACAAAAAAGTGATTGATAATTATTATCTTTCTTTGATAATCGTTATCATCCGAAGCAATATCTTTGTTCATATATCGATTTTAGTAGTCACGTTTATGAGTTAGTTTCCGTTATTACACTTGTAACAAAACACATTCTTGCTTTGCTTTTCTCGTGTTCATTTAAAATGATCATTCAAGACTTGAAAAACGAAGAACAGCCTATTTATCAGGTAAGTTTATACTTTCAGTGATGAAAAAAACTGGTTAGCCAGAATCAGATGTAAATGGGGTGTTTTATGTTTAAATGGCCTGGGTGGACTCCGTTCCAGTTACGAGTTCTTAATTAACTGTATATTGTTTTCTCTGCCTAACGGAAATTATAGCCGCCGGTCTGCCATACACATACTAATCATGTATGAGCCATTCTTCCCGTACTATTCTGCCGCGTTTACGTTGTCTAGATGCCAACACAGTACGTTTAATTATAGATAATTTGGTAATTAAGATATAATCAAAATTAATTCACTTTGGTGTTTGATTCGTCATTATCAATGTTACTTCTAAATTCACATAATAGACCCTTAAAAAAAAACGACATGAGTTCAAACTTTAAAAGATATTAATTTGGTGGAAGGAAACCTTAGGGTTTCTCAAAGCCAAAGCATAGCGATTTTAAATAAAATTGTTCAACTACAACTAAATAAACAATATATTAGGGTCTTTGGTATATATGTGTATGCTATACTTATATAAGTCAATATATGAATTAATTCTAGTATTATACATGATCGTGTTCTTAGGTTTCCGCTATTGTTACACATGGGAAACGAAAGAATTTTTTTGGGATTTAAATGGCGTATATTTGTTTTTTTTTTCAAATAAACCAACGTGGGCCGTTTAGGCCTTTACAGGTTCCATGGTGACATCAGGAAAAATAGTTTCATTTCCTATACATATTTCTAAATAAATTAGAAAATTATATTTCACAGGAGACGACAGTACAGAACAAACGAGAAGCAGATAGCGATGCTTTGGAGTCAGTCCTCGAGCACGTTGGAGGAATGGGACGATATCAAATATTCCTGATACTAGCATTGGGTCCGTTTGCAATCTTTTCCGTATTCGTCTACTTCGTACAGATTTTCATAACTCTTACCCCAAAGGACCATTGGTGTAGAGTACCCGAATTGCAGAGCTTAGATTTGGAGTTGAGGCAAGTAAACCTTGATGATACTTAATAATAATAACTTTTACGTTTTACACTTAATACATATATTACTGGTGTTATATTAAAAACTTTTTGAGAAGTTACCGAGATATTTTCTGTCCAGATTTTTTTATCACATCATGTGACGCGACGAACTAGTCATGCCCCTGGTGGTAAGCGACATACCTTCACATAACAGTTGGTGGTGATGGTACTTATTTTCTCTTCACAAAACTGTCTTAATAGTAGGAGTCTTAATGTTAAAACAAAACAAAGATTGATCAAACTGTTTTGTGAGAAACTGGTGCCCGAGATAGGTACAGAAAAACCGGGAATAAGGGTCACCAGGCTTCCACTCTACAGTTGTGGCACTGTAGTTGTGACACAGGAGTAAAATTAATTAAAGCACGTAAATATTCCTAAATTATAATAAAAACTATTAGTGCACTTTAGTGTAACTAAGTATTTAGAACCTCTAAAACTAAACTCATGATATGTAAAGTGTGAGGATGAATGAATGAGTGTTTATAATGTGCGTGTGTTACTAATAATAATTGTATGTTTGGGGTGTATGCCATGTATAGTATGCGAATGTGTTTAGGCGAGAGAACTACGAGTTGAGATAAGTTAAGAGGAATGAAGTGTTATTTGAGGATAAAAAGTAATTGCTCAGTTTCGTCATAATTTAGGGTCTTAATCCAATCGGTGATAGTCTTTTTACAGAGTGACTGTGGAAGCGCGTAAAAGGAAAGCTTTGTGTTTAATTTGTTGTGCAAATAGGGTGCGAGGAAGCAGAAGAAATGCTGAGAAAAACTGGTATTAACGAAATGGGATTGACAGACCGTTCTCTTTCTACGTTTATCCTTAGTTATAGTTGAAAAAGTTGCAGTGTTTCAGAGCTTTAATCACAAAGATTTGAGGGCACTACCACTGCGCCCGTCACCTTGAGACACAAAGTTGACAAGTAGCATGCGCCTGTGGTTTCATTAGCAGCCTTCAACATTGCTTGGCAGTAGAAATGGGTGTGATGGCAGCACTTCTCTGGATAAAATCTTTCACACTTCACTTTGAGCTTTACTATGAATACTAAGACAATTATAAAAATAGACAATTTGGATTTAAATGCTACCTTAAGTAGTGGTAGCACGTGGTACGCAATTTAATGACGAAAATCATATTATTGCAGACGCAATCTCACGGTACCTATAGTTATAAAAGGGGATGAAAGATGTTGGACATATAAAGCCAATTGGAGTCATGTGCTGGAGACGATGATGCCACCTGATCCAAACACAACCTTGGAGCGTTGTCAGTACGGTTGGGAATTTCAGTTCAAAGATATACCCTATCCAACTGTAGTTACCGATGTAAGTTACGGTAGATATCTGTCAGTGTACTTTTTTTTCTGTTACTAATAAATGATCTGAATGTTAATATGAGTCTAGGTCTTGATTTTTAACTTTACTGGGAAGCGATCATTTTTACCCTTAGTTTTTTAACGAACGGTTTTTAACAAAAAAAAAAAAAAAAGATTTTTATAAAATAACAAAATCAATATTCCGTGTTAGGTGAGACCTACCGCCTCTCAAGCACAGGCCGTGGGTTCCAATTCGGCCTCGCACCTTTGATTTAGTCCGAATTTATGTGCGAAATTTAATTCGAAATTTTCCATGAGCTTTTTGGTGAAGAAAAACATAATCTAGTACAGAGTATAAAAAAATATTGACGTTAAAAGTTCGTGGAAATACACATGTTTTTTTAGTTTTATTAAATGAAGTGCGCAAACCCGGATTCATCCCCTAGTACGCCACTATACGGGACATAACACAGGACATAATAAAAATCGATGCTCACTGCTTAAAGTATATTTAGAGAAAACCCTTAAATTGGAGCATAACAAAATCAACCATTAAAATAATTGCTCCTTATAAAATTTTGGCGCTATTTATAAAAATAAGTCTTAAAGGTTCGAGGTCGAAGAATGTTCACTACCCTCGGAAAAAGTGTGAGACGTGGCGGACTATGGCCTAAATCCTCACGTGAGAGGAGACCCGTGCTCAGCACAGGCACGTATAAATGGGCTGACGATGACGACTTTTAGAAAGAAACATTGCTAAAAAATATTATCTAAATTTCCAGCGAGGTTGGGTATGTGAATATGCAGGAAACGTGCCCACTGCACAAACAATCTTCTTTGTGGGGTCATTATTAGGAACTCTATTTTTTGGTTGGTTAGCTGATCGATTCGGAAGAGTGCCTGCTTTAGTTGGTAAGAAAATTATTACTTCTATACCCCTGTAACTGTAAGAAAGCGTGGTTTACATTGCGCACGTATCACAGGGAGCATACATTTATACTTGAATAATTACACATATAATATTCAACAATTTCGCGATATTTGCAAATACTATGGCATAAAATGATTTTAATTTCTCGATATGAATACACTTCCCACTTACACTTGGGTTCATCTGTGTTTTACATATAATGTAAATTAAAAAATCAAAATATGTTTATATATATATCATATACACTATACATAAAGTGTGTTTGTAAAGATTTTTTTTATAATATCAAGTGGCGGGACGAACAAGACGTGTGTCTGATATTAAGCTACACGCCTGTCCATAACAGTTGCAGTGCCACTCAGAGCATATCAATCGTAAAGATTTGAGGGGTACTGCTACTACGCAGTGACCCTGAGACGTAAATTGACAAGTTCCATGTGCCTGCAATTTCACCAGCAACCTTACCCTTCAAAACCGGACCTCAGTAATAGGTAAGGTGGCAGTACTTCCCTGGAGGAACTCTTTCACAAGGAGGTCTAGGTACTGCTAAAATATTTCAAGTTTTAGCAGTAAACCTCCTCCGTATAACCTCGGAGGCCGAATAGAGGTCCCAGAGTCGATTCCCGGGCCGGGAGAAATATTTGTATGGCCTACATTTATTGCTCTCGTGAGTTTGTGTGTAATTTGTGGTTGTCAATGTATGTGTTCATGGCACCCGCTACACAGGGTTTCCCTAGTGTGGGGCTATGTTGAGTGTGTGCTTTATTATTATTTATATAGTTTCTCGTGCACGCACATCCATCATCTTCGTCGTTTTCGACCGGGTAGTAAATTTCTTAGCATTGAAAAACATTATTTGTTATGGCACAATAACACTGCTGCTTTTATTTGCCATTGTTTTATTAGTTAAGATAGTAAATTTTTGAATTATCTCAGTATTCATGCTATATAGTTCATCATAAAGTGCTTTGAAAGTATTTACCACCAGCTACATTTAAGACTTATATTTCTTGCATGGATATTTAAGTTAAGAGTGCTAACTTTTGAAATACACTTCGAGAAACGTCTGGGATGTTTCAAACATTTCTTCGTCTCTGGACTTACCAAATTTCATTTTATTCGCTGCAAAAAAGTACGGGAGTGCTAATTCACACCTCGTGTGATTAGAACGTGTCTGTTGCGAGGTATCGAAAGTATTGGTTTCGGCCGTAACAAAGGACAAATTACCTAAACAATTTGCTCTTGTGAAATTTCTTAAATTCAATGATATTACCGATATATCTAAAGTGAAATACGTAAACCCATATAAGTTGCTAATCACATTTGAAAGTAGCGCAGACAAATTCATGATCTGCCAAGCATTCACCGAGTTGGGTTGGAGGAGACAAAAGACTTGGGAGGTCGCCCTGTCATACGGAGTTATACGTGACATCGATCCCGATTTGTCGGAAGAAGATCTCTTAAAAGACATATCTTGCGATGTTGAGGTTATGGAAGTACCATGGATTGATAACTGTTTGATGAATAGACTTGGCGTTGTGACGGCTCTGAGGTTACGCTCTGGGCACATTCGTTCAAAGAAGTTTAAAAAGGTAAACTTCTTTGAACGAATGTGCCCAGAGCGTAACCTTAGATGGGCATTACACCAACTCCTTATTGTACCAATTGCGGCGTCATTGAAGACATCTACCACGTTTTGATAGAATGTGTTCGGACCGAGAGACTCAGGAGACAGTTGGGCAGTGTGGCCAACATACGGCAGACTGGGTGGTGTAACAGTATAATGGCCGCTCCGTCGTCGAACGAAGCCAAGATACTGTATAAGATATATTTAGATAGTCTTAATCTAGGTTAGATGTATAAATTAAGTAGCATTACGGAGCGACATTACTATTAAAATACACAGTAAAGCTCCTTAAATTTAGATTAAAAAAAAGTACGGAGCGACGACAGACGAAACCCTAAAAATTATCATCAAAAAGATGAGTGTAATATATGTCTTTGTTTTTACAAATTATCCTTCTTTTTCTATGAGTTTGAATATCGCGAAGCGGGTATAATGTTATTTATTATTATATTATTTCAGGGTCAAACCTCATTGCTTGTATTGGTGGTGTAGCGACTGTTTTTACGAATGGATTTTGGGATTTCGCATTCTGTCGATTTTTAGTGGGTTTATCTCTCGATAGCGGTTTCATGATTATGTATATAATGGGTAAGTTTTTCTATTCGGAATACTCATATTGAACTTAAATATAATTTGAAATTATTGAAAATGAAATAATGAAAACAAATAAAATGAAAAGTGGCAGTCGTGTAAGTGCATTAGCTTTTCAATCAACTTTATTTGTTTTTTATTAACAAATTTTACTATGGATTATTTGTTATTAACAACCTCGCATGACTGTATTACTAACATCATTGATAACTTTGTTCTATAACTTTTTACAAAACACAATAATTTACCAAAAATAAACTTTTAAGTTTTTGTTGTACTATCTGACATATTTTACATCTGTATTTGATAGTAAGGTAGTAAGTTTAAGCGTGCAAGCGTCCTCCCCAACGATCCCTACCCCCGCTTCTGTGTTTTGCATCGAACTAGTATTTACACTAGCGCTTTCTTTTTCTACAAAAGACAGCGCTGACAGAATCATCACCATTGAGAGCGATCTATTGAAATAATTTTATTCTTGTACGATAATAAAATCTGATAAAATGATTAGAGACACGGAACAAATGTGGTTGTTTATCATATCAGCATACAGTCCTGTTAAGGTGTTAGTATTTTACAAATACTCTTGTATAATTATACCTTCAAAAATTGTTTTCAGTACTTGAATATGTGGGTATTCGTCATCGCACATGGGTGGCGAATGGATCATTGGCAATATATTTTGGCGTGTCTAGTATGTTAATGCCTTGGGTGGCAATTGCAATTGGCGATTGGCAGAAATTTGCATTGCTCACCTCCCTGCCCATGCTGATAACACTTGGTGTTCCTTTTGTCATACCTGAGAGTACGAGGTAAGAGATATAAAGTTATAAAATTAGTGATGTCACTTGTCACCATATATCAGCACCGAATTTCCACGCTCGACGTTGTGGGGTGGTGACGATAACACATATAAGACACACTAAGTGTGCCCGCAACGCTGAGGCGTGTTACTAATAACTTTACTTTAAAATGTATCTTGCAGATGGTTGGCGTCAAAAGACAAAGGTGATAAAGCAGTCAAAATCTTTAAAAGAATCGCAAAAGTAAACGGTAATAAAGTTCCAGGTCATGTGATGAATAATTTCCTTGTAAGTTTTAAATAATGTTCACCATGTATTACTGAGGTTTTTTGTGAAATCAGTCCACTAGTTTTGTTACGATTATTACTACATAGATCGAACACATACAAAGAAAAATTTAAAATACAAAAAACTTTAATAATACATTTGATCAAAAAACGTCAGTTGAGGCATCTGTAAAGATACCAGTTGCGGTGATAAGGTTTTTCAAAAATCTCTCACTAGATGTCTCTAGCGGTGACGAATGCCGAAAGCAAGTACAAAGATATTTAACAATAATCTCAGTACAGAGTACTAAAAAAAGCAACCTCAAAAGTACGTGGAATTACGTCTATTTGCTAAGTTTTATTGAAATATCCCTTAGTTCGCCACTATACAGGACTTGACACTGTAGATAATAAAAATAGGTCACTACGACACTACTCAAGTATATCGAGAGAAAAAGGCCTTGAATTGGAGAAATAGCAAAATCAACCATTAAAGTAATTGCTCCTAAATTAAAGTTAGGCGCTATTTATAAAAATGAATCTTCATGCGTGAACAACCACCCTTCGAGGTGGATGATTTTCTTTCAAATGAAATGGGACCACTATGGAAGAACAAAAAAAGAACCATGAAAATCGGTTCACAAATACCGGAGTAATCGCGTAACATACATACAAAAAAAAAGAACGTACAGTCGAATTGAGAACCTCCTCCTTTTTTTAAGTCGGTTAAAAACAGATAGGTAGCGTCGCCTTACATTCTCAAACTCGTATCTAAGAGTTACGCAGTTACTGAAATGCTAAAATGGATTGTATATACAAATTATGCAGGCTGATTTCACATCACATTTCCTTCATATTTACACACTAGCTTTTACCTATTCTTAATGTAATGCATTGACTTACAAATAAATGGACGACGGGTCTAATACAAAAACCACGAAAAAAATGTCCCAAGTCAACCTATTCGAAATTTAAATTGTTATGTCATCGCAGTATCGCGCTGTCCGTAGAACAAATGAAGACTAAAGCGGAGTGTCGCGCTCTGTATACGATTTTAGCGCCTTACAAGTGCGGACACTTTTTAGCGCGGACCCGACGTCCATATAATTGTAAGTCAATGATGTAATGCGTCCAAATCAACACCCTTGATAAGAAATTTAAAATAAATAGAAAGTTTTGCCATCTCCTGAATAATCACTCTTTATAAGATAAGAGTTTGAGAAAGTAAGGCGTCGATAGTAGAATATCGACAGCTCGGTAACTTGATATGTGGCTCTGTTGGAAAGAGCAATGCAACGGTGCAGCATGGTCATGCGTGCAAGACCTTCTGAAGAAAATTTTTGTATGTGTTTGATTTATATTAATAATAATCATAATTGTCATCATGTTACATTAAATTTTCACCCAACCGTATTATTTTATGCATCTTGTTGCAGCAATCTCTCAGACAGCCAAAAACTAGCGACGAATCCATTGCAGCATTATTTAATTCACGGGAGCTCTTGAAAACAATGATAGCTGCCATAGTTGCATACATGTCAGCTACCATGGTCTTTGACGGCCTCGTACGTTTATCAGAGCATTTGGGCTTGGACTTCTTTTTAATTTTCACCCTTTCGTCGGCTACGGAGATACCTGCGCTTCTAACGTTGGCTTTTGTTCTTGACAGGTATATTATTTATACATTTCTTTCAATATTGCTCCTTGTAATTAATTCCTTGGTCAAACCAGTGTTACAATTGTAGAAAATAGGAGCCTCAGATTGGCATTTCAGCAGGTCAAGTGCAGCCTGTCAGATCGAAGGAATTTTTCTTTGTGTTCGATCTTTTAATTAATAATTAATTGTAGAAAATATTTGTAACTTGTCTTCAGGTGGGGTCGTCGAGTACTTGCGTGTGGGCCTATAGTGTTGGCTGGAATTTTAAATGTCGCAGCCGCTTTTTTAGCAAAAGGTATTTTTAATTATCTGTTATGTAGATAATTATATATGTCTATCATTAGTTTTCAAACAAAGCAACACGTTTTTAAAGCTATATTATAATTATTCGTGGCCGTGGTGGTAAATGGACTCTCATTATTTTTATTTATTTATTTTAATTCTCGTTCAGGTGTTCTTCAAGTTGTATTGACTTTGGTAGCGCGGTTCTTTGTGAACATGTCATTGTCTGCACTAGTGCAATGGGTTACGGAAATTCTACCCACTCCGGTACGCGCTACAGGTAGCTCTATATTACATGTAAGCGGGTTCTTTGGCGGAATGTTCTCACCATTCGTAGTTTATGCTGTAAGTATGCTCACATTTTGTTTTCACTTTCTCTATGAAATATAAGAGTAATTCTTTTAATCATATCACAGAAAATCTCTTAAATCTAAGTACCAAATTACTTACTAATCTTTCGTGTTCGTCTAGCTTTTGAATCCAAACATTAAAGTATTGAATACTTTACAGTCAACTAGTTGTTTATTTCGTCATTCGTATCACATTAGACAGAAAGTCACGTGGAGGTCACGCGAAAGAAGAGGTCACATCATTTTAATTTTAATTCATTGTCCGCAAAGAATAGAGTGATAATTATCTACACAGTAGAAATCAATCCCAGCCATTATGTAACCAAATTTTACATCTTATTTGAATATTTAATTCAATAGTGATGGAGAAAATTTACTGTGACGGAAATACGGATCTGACGAAAATATTTTCGCTTTTAATCCTTTTTTGAAGGAAAAAAATTGCTCGTAATGTATTGAGTGAGACTTCATTATAGAATTCAACATAAACCGTTAAGCAACATGCAAAGAATAACACAAAATGATATTTTAAAATGAGTTGTTTTTAAAATGAAATGACAGTCACACGATCAAAGCAAATACAATATGTTCTTACACAAAATCTAGGCTTAGATGTACCTCGACAATTTAGTTGTATTCTGTCCCGGCGGAAACTCACGCGTGTGCACGACCACACTTTACCAGCTCACTCGTCACTTTGAAACCCGAGTTGCGGTCATTTGCTAACGGAAAAAGCAATCCCGTGTGCCTGTCTCTGAAGTTTCAAAACCGAAAAAGAGGACCGAATTTTCTGCTGTATCCGGCAATACCGACGTCGCTGCTCTACTTGTCACGACTGCATTACTCCACGAAATCTGAGAAGACAGTAGAGTATATTAGAATGAAAGCCAAACACACCCTAAAGATCGAGCGTTTGGAGTCCCGCCGTATGAAGGAGGATTTTGGTCGAAGGGCGTCGTGTATCGTTGCACACGCGCGACACGTTGCCGACAATTAGTAATTCGTGTAAATAGTTACTTAGTTTTATATTATATTACATGTCTTTAAGGTATGTATTTTATTGGCCATTGTTGCCTGAACTAAAAATGAAATATTTTATATTTCATTTAAATATTTATTTATTAATTGCTGTCTTTTAAATAAATGTGTAAAAATTCAAAAACACCTCATACATACGCAACAGCAAATCATTTTAAAAGTATTTATTGTCCTACACATCGTTTAAAATAAATCGATACCTCCCACGTAAGTTGTTGTAAGTCAAAATACAATTTTTTACTATTTATTTTAAATATATCCTTTTTTATGTATATTATAAGTTCCATATTTAGAAGTAAAGAACAGTGTTATGTTAACTTTAAAACATGGTATCTATAATATACATAAAAAGGATATATTTAAGTTAAAAAGGAAAAAATGGTATTTTCACTTACAACAGCTTATGTAGAAGGTATCGAAATATGTTTGTTATTTGCATAAATTTTTTATATAGTAATGAAATTGTGTACTGTAATGGATCATTTTACCTCTATGCGACCTTCTGTCTAATCTGATACGAAATGAACGATAAGTATTCTAGAAATAGATAATTAATGTCTCTTCAATAAACCGCAATACAGAGAACACAAAAATTTTACTAACAGTGCGACACTTCTACGGTCTACTTATTTTGAGATTTTGGTATATTCACGACAGCCGCGCTCCTACTTGCTGTTTAAAACGGCGCGCTTCCGAACAAATGCTGGCAAGCGAGTTCCTACATTGTCGTATTCTTTCTCAATGCTATGATTTATTTGATATTATTGAAATATATTCTATTTACCTGCTTCAAAATTTTAAAAAGCACATTATTGAGGCTCTGAGCTGATTTCTTTTTTTTTTTTTAAGTCTAATAGCAATTTGTGGATAATGCATTCATAGGTTACAATTAGTCATCATTGAATGCAAATATATCATGTACAAATTGTTTGTTGTCCTTTAAAAACAAATTGACATGTAGGAATTTATAGGTATGTCGTTTTAGGACCTGATTCTATTTATATCTAGTATTTTGAGGATCTAAATTTTATGATGTGGCAGTTGAGACCTAATCTGTATGACCATGACACTTCTTTTCATCTTCAGGGCCTATACTGGACACCATTTCCACTGTTACTATTCGGTATACTGGCATTTATAGCCTGTGCTATGAGTTTGCTGCTACCAGAGACCATGGGTCTTCCTTTGCCACAAACCATTACCGAAGGAGAGCGACTTATTCAGGAAAAATCATTATTTAGGTATAATGTTGCTGTATTTTTCAAATAATTCATCCATCTCTTGATATTGTACAGCGATTCTTCCATTCATCTCTATTACCCGTAACTTTTTAGTCCTTTTTTTATAATATCAAGTGACAGGACGAACAAATCGTGCGCCTCATGGTAAGCTACTCGCCTGTCCATAACATTTGCAGTGCCACTCATAGCTTTAAATCGCAAAGACTCATAGGGACACTGTTACTGCACCCGTCATACTGAGACATAAGTTGACAAGTCCTATGTGCCTGTAATTTCACCAGCAACCTTACCCTTCAAAACCGGAACGCAGTAATACAAACATTATTGCTTGGCGGCAGAAATAGGTAAGGTGGCGGTACTTCCCTGAACGAAATCTATCACAAAGAGCTCTACTGCTACTTTATTATACATACTATCTTTTACAAATTTATTCATTTTTCTAGACCTGAAAATCTTCTTCAATTTTAACATCTTCCAGCAACGCAACCTTCGTATTTTAACAGTACATGGCCGTGTCCTTGTATTAAATTAGTTACAATTCCGACGTTAATTTTCAGGAGAAATCCAGATCCCACTACAGCTGTATATAATGAAGAATCGACAAATGAAAAAATTGTATTATAAATAGAAGGATAATGGGAAATATGATGCAATCACCAAACGACCTACCTTCAGGTAAAAAGGAGGTCTCTATCCTTTCAATAAATGACTATTTTCGTTGGTCGAGGTACTTGAGATTATGTGTTCTTGTGTGATATATGAATAAAGATTGTATTTTTATATTGATGTACTTCTGTACTTATATTTACGTCTCAAAGTACGTGTTTGCTTGAGCTAACAAGATTTACCGAAAGGAGAACTAATAATAAAAATTGCATTTCAGGACTACATTTTTATTACGCCTTTAAAAGTTGGGTGACAAATTAATGTGTTTTATAATCGCACTATAACCGACAAGTTGCTATGTATACATTGCATCATCAACCATAATGGTTTTGTAGATTTTTTGTTAACGTTGTTTGTACGAAGAGAAAAATTGATAAAATTATGAATATTTTCTCTGTATCGCGAAACACTGTTGTTTAAAAGAAACTTTCAAAGTTACACAAAAGTAGCCGTAATAAACAATATATAGAAAGAACAATAAGAATTAGCGCAATATTCTTCACCTTGTGCATCCCCCTTGAAATATTTCAAATTATGTCACTTAATTTTAAGTTTATTTCAGTAGCTAAAACACAGCAATAAAGGGTAATGTAACTATATAAAAACATATTGATATCACAACAAACAAGAAAGTTTATGTAAAATTGGGGCAAAGCTTAGAACAACCAAGTGGGTTCGCCAGTTTCGTTCACAAACAAATTGAATTTTAAGTGAGTGCCGACTTTGATTGAAGTTGATTACAAAAATTTGTAACCATAGGGACAATGTGATAATCTACAGTATAGTACCTAGTAATCTGTGAAAAATTGTTGTTTCGTTACTACATGTCTTGAACTTGGAACTTTGTAAATACGTTTATATATTTCATTATTGATTTTGGTACGTATTTAGATATTAATTCTTTTTTCTGCCTAACCAACGGATTCGCTTATTCGTTTTTTAAAACTACAAAAAAGGCCTTTTTCATACCTATATTTCTAGAGGCATAATAGCTGTTTAAAAACACTTTGCAAAAATGTGCTACAATACATAAATTTTGCTAGTGAACTTTAACCCTTTTATATTATATCAGACCTTAATAAAAATGTATTGCAATAAATTGGATTAAATTGAATTGGTTCGTCTTTTGAAGACTCAAGTCACACGGCTTTGCCTCGTAGTCCTTTGCTACACACGTAGGCCGTAGCTGCCAATTGCTACGAATATGTTTTTACAAACAGGTTGAGTGAAATTTGTTTCAATAATAATATTATTAGATTTTTAGTTCGGGACTATTTTTATTTAATTAGGATTATATACAGGTAAGGTAAAAAAGACAATGAAAGGTTAATTACTAGAAAGTGAAACAAGGATTTTTAAATTATATGAATAAAATTGGGTACCCGCGGCAAGGTGCCCAAGATGCTGGCAGCGTTCCCTTTGGGCAAAGTAGCTGCCGGCCCTTGGGTTTCCCAGACAGTCTATTAATTTTTTCGATAAAATTTTGTACAGATGAAGGGCACTGGGACCGCACGGGCTCCCCAAGGCGGAGATCTGCAGCCATGCGAATGGTCATGGCGCTTAGGAAGGTACCGGTACTGGCACAGGGGAAAGCGTGTAGCCAGTGGCCAGATTCCCACCTGGACGCCACTTCCAGACGCGCTCGGTCTATTGGGGTGAAATGATTCATTAAGTTCATTGTTCATTTAAAGTGTTTTTGCACAGAATATTATCCTAGCTCCTTTGAATTTTGGGGTCGGACGGAGAAATTTCGTTGGGACAAACCTGGTTCCAGGCGTTTTTGGACTCAATTAAACACGTCACCTCACAGTTTGTTGGTAGAAGCTTTAGGATACTGCCTACGAGGTTGACCGTGCTGTACATTGAGGATACTTCTGATGCCTAGACCACCATGTCTGATGGGGAGGGTAGCTTGGGTCCAGGTATTATGGGTGAGATGGACGTTGAGAATGGATTCAAGAAGAGTTTTTAGGTCAGAATCTATTGACATCAACTGATTATGGAATTTCCAAGCCGGACAGCAGCAAAGTACGTATGTAAATTTTAAAATACAGATGGCGTAGTGGGTGTCTAGGCTCAGGAGCCTATCTGTCAGGCTCAGGCTGGAATTGAGTAATCGAATATAGGTGCACCTAGAAGGCTAAGCTTTGATTTGTTGGTGAGACGAATGTTGGGGGCAAGAGTATTAAAATTTGGAATGATTATATCCCTGTTGGGATAAGATTGAGGGATGTAAAGTTCGCATTTATAAAAATTTTATTGGACGCCAATGGTGTTAAAACTAGATGATTTCGTTAAGGTCCGAAAGTACGATGTTTGCAGAGCCTCCTAGAGTTCCATCATCTAGGTACCAGACGTTAAGATTTGAATGCAGATTTTGGATGGATGGCGAGACTGATGATGGCAGGCCTCAGAAGGATCGTGTTGCTGACAACCCAAGGCAGGTGATAGTTCATTGGCTCTGTAAACTAGTTTAGAGGTCTCACTATAGCATTAAAGGATGTAATTGTAAATCTCTGGCACGTGTAGCTTCACCTCGTTCAGCAAAGCATCCCTATTGACCGAATTAAAAGCGTTTTTGACGTGGATCTAGAATAGCACCTTATCCCCTGAGTTTTTGTGAAGGAAGGTACGGAGAGCGTGATCAGCTTTTCGCAACCACTTTTAATGCCGAGACCGAGCTGAACGGGCATAAATCTGACTCTGAGGTTGCCGAACGCATAATTTTGACGCGAGGCGTCTCAATGTGCTGCCGACGGCAATCGGCCTGACGCCACAAACCTTTTTAGTTAGTGCTATTAAATATGTGCACCGTAAATGATGGGGACTATCTCCGTATGCACCAATGTGCATGCGGAGAGAATGTGCTTAGGTGATAAATCTGATGCTGCTGGGCAATCCCAGCAGCATCAGATTCAGCACCATCACCTCAGCGATGTTTTTCCTCAGCCTTTTGCTGACTTCGCTGAGCGATGGCGAAGTGAGGTCTTTCAGGTCAGCAGAATCGAGCGTAAAGGACGAAATGTCCGATAAGACGTTCTTTTCGTTGACTTGAAGGCAAGAATTTGGAGGGCAGTGTGGATCCAAAAAGTAAGGTACTGCAGGAGCTGGAGGGTGCTTGCTCTCAAGGGCGGTTAAAGTAATAGGGTTGTCAGGTGAGATGACGTCGTGGAAGAAGAGAAGCCGTGCTGCACCTTTGAGATTGCCGTCGCTAATTTTGTTCTCAATCCTTCTGGATAAGGCAATATCAGGGGAACTACGAGAAGAAACGGAGGAATGGAGTGTGGGACAAGAGCAGTTATTTTTAATTTTTTGTGTCAGTATCTTTTTTTTTCATCAGTTGCCAACTGTCAGGGTCATTGTGTCTGACGCAATTTTGCAGGGCGAGGGAAAGAGCATTAACGACGGAGATCCTAGCACCTCGTGGAATCCTTTTTATTACAGGTGTATGACGCGGAATGACTAAGGTAAATGAGACGGTGTGCACTTTATCTTGATAGATGTGCAGGCCTTTCGGATTGCGGAATGCGCGGAAGCAAACCACACACTCTGTGTCCGCCATGGTGTCTCTCGGACTTATTAAAAATCTGAAATTTCCTAACGGCTAATAAAACACATATTATAACGATTATGAAAAAAAAAACACTTAACAACTAACAAAGCACAATATACACAAAACACTTAAATCACTTTTAAACGCGAGTAATTACACTACAAAACATAAAACTAAGCTTATGAAAAAATCAGCATCTTGCGACAAGTTCGCAAGACAGGTGACAAGTGGATGGGCACAACTTGTTTTATTGTTTGTGCGCAGGGGTTCGACTTAGTCGCCTTGGAGATTGTGTTAACACTGTTCGGGACTTAATCATGTATAAAACATATTTTAATTACTTCGACGTATCGGACGTATGGCAACGTTCATGGTCTCGAAGGGACTGAAGATGCGGGTGTCAACATCTTCTAGCCGTGCGAGTTTTTCTAAGTACCCGCTTTTGGTCTTCATAATTTATTTGTGCATTAGGGTTGTCACTAGACTGACACACTACACTATGTTTAAAACATGATTAAGTTCAGAACTAAAAATCAAACAATGTCTGAAAATTGTGAACATTTAAATCAAATACACACGCCAGCAGATCAAGCTACACATTGACGTATCTTGTTCCGTTCCAATGGAGACGATTTTCGATCAAAAAATTGTAGTCTGGTGTGCCGTTATCCGTACAATAATAATAATTGTGAGTATTCTTTTGTTAGCTGTTATAAATAAGTCTTTTATTTTACTGCATTTTAGTATTTACTAAAAATGCAATATAAAATAAAAATCCATTTTTATTTTGAAATTTTATAAATCTACCCGAAATATGACTCTCGTAAGGTATCCTGGATAATACCCTAGTTGATGCGTAGTTGTTTGTTTTTGTTAATGTAGTAATTTGAAAATCAATACATTAACATTAAACATTTGACTAATCCCTTTCATAACAGCCTGTATTGGACTAATTCAAATTTATCGACAAATTCGATACAGCAATTTTTTTGCTTTGCTGTCACGGCACGAGGATCGTATGACGTGAGCTGAGTACTGATTCGATTCCCTTTCGCAACAGTATCCTTTTTATAATAATTTTATTGCATTTCTCCGAACAGTATGCGGAGCTACGTTGTTGGAATTGCCCACTCGTTGTTTTTAAGTCTCCCAAATACGGGACGGTTCTCATGTCATTCTTACATCGTAGAAAATTGGTTTGTGCGTTATTTTTAGTAGTGCGTCATTAAAATAGCAGTTGTTTTATTTTTAACTGAGTTCAAAAAAAGTAGCAGTTTCGACTGTGTTTTTGTTTACGCGATTACTCCGACATATATATGTATTAATTATATATACTTGTGAACCGATTTCGATGATTTTTTTGTTGTAAAGGTGGTATCTCAGTAGTGATCCCATTCAAATTTGAAGAAAATATTCCACATTTATGGATAATAAATAAAGGGAT